GTTGTGAAGATTAAATGAGACAATATTTGTTAAGTGTTCTGCAAATCTTAAACTATATAAATAAATGTTGGCTATTTTTATTACTTCCAGTCTAATTTGCTAAAAATTGTTTTCAAGCAATGATAAGGGCTACACGAAAACAAAAGTTATTTTGGTTTCCTGAAGAAATCAAAGTTTAGGGCAGCTAGGTGGCACAGTGGATAGAGTACCAGCCCTGAAATCAGGAGGACCTGAGTTCAAATCCAGCCTCAGACCAAACACTTGACACTTAATAGCTGTGTGACCCTGGGCAAGTCACTTAACCCCAATCACCTAAAAATAAATAAAAGAAATCAAAGTTTATCATAACTACCCATGTGGCAGTAAAGTTACCCATCCAAGAAGATGCATTAATAAATTTTGGTGTTCAACAACAAAAAAAAGCCTTACCCCTAAATGAGACCTAAATCAACTAATCTATCTTTACTTTGGAGGAGGCAACTAAAGTTATGACTTCCCTACAGTCCCACAGCTAATCAGTCATGAAAGGACTATATGGGTTCTTACCCAGGTAGAACTTTACCACTTACAAATTCATTATCTCCACTTTACAGTCACTTAGGAGAGATGAAGTAACAAGTGATTTCACCTCTGAGCCTCAGTTTCTCCATGTGGAACATAACCAACAGGAGTGGACTAGATTCACAGTCTCTCCCACCAGCTCTACTATTCCAATTCTGAACTTGAAGATAGCTGGTTTCCAATGAGAAAAGCAATGACACTCTTGAGAAAAGCAATGACACTCTTAAGAAAAGCAGACACTCTTAAGAGAGACTCAAAAAAATTTCAAATTCCCATCCTCTTGAGGATTTCACTGATGCTCCCCTTTACCTTGTCCCAGTTTGTTGTTCAGCTTAAGTTAATATTAAAACAAGTCAACTAGCATTTATTAAGTGTCTACTATATGCCAGGCTAAGCAATGGAGATAGAAGAAAAGCAAGACAGTGTCTGGCTCTCCAGGAACTCAGTACAATGAGGGAGACAGAATGCAAACAAGTATGTACAAACAAGAAAAATACAGGATAAATGGGAGGTAATCACAGAGGAAAGGCATTATTGTCATAAAGGAGGATTGGAAAGACTTTTGTAAAATAAATTTGCATTCCTCAAGCACAAAAACTGATCAGGCCTGGGAAGGCCCTGGAAGGTCGAGGGAAAGCCATCCTCAAACTTCACTGCCTATAATCATTAAAGTCCCTAAACAGAGAGCTGACCCAGGCATTCTTTTTTTCTGATATGTACTAAGGAAAAAAATCTAGCTAAGTACAAAGTTATTATATTTCAGGCAAGCACACCCTCCAAGAGGCTAAACTTTGCTTTGTTATAGGGGATTTACACTATAAAGGCTTTTAATTCCACTCTCCATACACACTCTGCCCTGAATCTGTCTTTTCACCTTTTAAATTTTGTTCCTCTTGGCATGCCTCTAATGGTATTTGGATAATACTTGTAAGGAAATCTGTTGATTCCTCACCTGGCTGTTCCAAGCCCAAGAGCCTGTATTTTCTTTCAGTTTTTGGCAGTTGGACCAATATTAAATAATCCTCCTTTCATTTTGTTTCTTGTGGTTTTTGGATAGTTGTGGTAAATAAAAAATATGCTCTTGGTTTTTAACAGCCTAGACACCAGGAGAAAGAACATCTGGACCTTAGAAGTTAATTTTGTTTGTGTTCTTCCACCTGCTGTAGGCATTTTTGGGAGTAATCAAACAGTTACAATTAAACTTAATATTTGAGTTGTGGTGGAGAGTTTGGCTAATTTAAGGCCAAAACAAATCATAAGAATGATCTAAGTACTAGCCCTGTCTTATATCTGTTCTGTGTAGAGCCTAAAATTGAAGGGAAAAAAAAAAGCAATAAATATCAAATTGAGTCAGTTTTAAAACAATGTATCAAACAATTTTAAAAATCTGAATATTTTGGGGCAGCTAGGTGGGAAGTGGATAGAGCACCGGCCCTGGAGTCAGGAGGGCCTGAGTTCAAATGCAGCCTCAGACTAGAGGCTTCACACTCACTAACTGTGTGACCCTGGGCAAGTCACTTAACTCCAACTGCCTCATCAAAAATAAATAAATAAATTTGAATATTTCCTGAGCATTATTCAAGTATGAATCAAAGTTCAACCAAAAGTCACTCCTCTACTCAATAAAGTCCAGTGGCTCCCTATTGCCTCCAGGATCAAATATAAAATGCTGTTTGGCATTCAAAGTCCTTCATAGTCCTTTCCAATCTTCTTAGACCTCACTCTTTGACTTTGGCCTCCTGGCTGTTCCATAAACAAGTCACTCTATCTCTTACCTCTACACATAAATCTGCCCCCAGCTAAGACAGAAATGCTCTACTCTACCTACTGACTTCCCTGGTTTTCTTTTGAGTCCCAACTAAAATTCCTTCTTTTATAGCAAGCCTTTCCCAAACCCTCTTATTGCTAGTGCCTTCCCTGTTAATTATTTCCTATTTACCCTGAATATAGCTTGCTTTGTCTATATTTGTTTTCATGCAGTCTCTGACATTAGAATGTAAGCTCAGTGAGGGCAAGGGAATAGTTTTTGCTTTTTGCATTCCCAGCACTTAGCACAGTGCCTGGCATATAGTAGATACTTAACGTTTAAAACTGATTGAAAGGGGGCAGCTAGGTGACTCAGTGGATAGAGTACCGGCCCTGGGTTCAGGAGGACCTGAGTTCAAATTCAGCCTCAGACACATAACACTTACTAGCTGTGTGACCCTGGGCAAGTCACTTAACGCCACTGCCTAGCCAAAAAAAAAAAAAAACCTGATTGATTAGTAGCTAGGTGTCACAATGGAAAGACTGCTGTGCCTAGAATCAGGAGTAAAAGAGTTCACCTCCATCCTCACTTTCTGGCTGCATCACCCTGGGCAAGTCATGAAACTCTACCCTACTCTGTCAAATGGGCATGGTAAGAATAGCACCCACCTCCCTGGGTGGTTGTGGTACATGTTTGTAAATGAGATGTTTGTAAATCCTGCTTGGATATTTAAATACTGACTATCAAAACCAATTGTTTTGAAAATCTCTCATCAAGAATGAACAAAATTCCAGTATGAATACAAGTACTTCCTTGACCTGAATCTTAAATTTGGAGAACTTAATCATTCCTCAGGTCCAACATCTATATCCCTTTAATCTCTTATTAATAAATAATCTTTTCCTTATCTCACTTTCCTCTACCTTCAGACTAAATAAATTCCAACACTATTTATAGCTTTAATTACTTAATACCTCTTCCTGAATAGCATAGATCTTCAGCTAGAAGGGATCTCAAGAGGTGTTACCTTAGCCAATTTACAGTCAGTCCAATGAACCAGACCATAAGTTAAGAGTTCCTTCAAACTTAAATTCTAAACCCTAAAAGAGGGATGGGAGGGAAGAGAAGGAGGAAGAAGTGTGTATTAAACTAAGGCGATAAAAAGTGGTCTGGTTATGACAAAGAACTGGGGAATAAATAAACTGAGGGTAAAGTCCTTCTGGTTACCAACAACCTTGGAAACCCACATCTGCTGGCATTTGAAATGGAAGCAATAAGCAAGCTACATGCAAGTGGGTCAGATGGGTCCCTCTCTTTCCATCTCTTCTGTATGAGGGTAAGGGAAACTTCTATCCCAATCATATAATTATAACAATAATAATAATTGTTAAGATTTTTATCTACCGCAGAAACTTTCAATACCAGCTCTTGCTGAAAAGGATAACTTTCCAAAACATTTCATTAACTTTTTTCTTTAAGCCCTATGACTACAGCTCACTGGAGGAAATGGGGGAGGGGGCAGTATTCTTAATAACTACTTTTTAAAAAAACCTGTTTTCCCCCTAAGTTTTATCCATTCCCTACACCTCTGGGCAATAATTTTGTCAAAGATGCACTGGCTCTCATAATTACACAGATTATATATCCAATTAAAAAGCTGAAGTGAGGGGAAGAAAGCAAAGGAAACCGAGAACCTGCATCCTAGAAAGGAAACTTACCTTCTCCAAGAGCATAATAAGGTCATGCATGCGGCAAAGACAATGTTAACAACCATTACACATGCACCTTCCTGTACTGGGCAATTCTGCACTTCCTCACTACCCTGGGTGTCTCCCCACACCTCTAGCCCTCCCACCCATGCGGAATCCCCGATACAGCGTCTTTAGTAAAAGCACTCTCTGGAAGATGAGACGGGGGTGGGGTGGGGTAGGGGGAGAGAGCAGGGGGTGCCCGTCCAAAGGAAGGCTGAGGGCACGGGTGGAGGAAGGGAGATGCATAAAGGGACGGGGATGAGCAAGCACAGCGGCTTTGGGAATGGGATGATGCACACATATACACACATACACACAACCGCCAACATAAATAAAGGAGGTGAGGTGGAGGGAGAGGAGTGGTGGTGGGGAAAGACCTGTCAGGTCGGCAGGAAGAAAAAGCAATCAATGCAGGATGGGGCTAAGGGGAGGAAGGGGGAGAACCTCAGCTTGCAAGCATGGGTGAGAGGAAGGACTGGCGCAGAGCGAGCGAGGCCCCGGCTTTGCAAAACGAGAGCGAAAGAGCAAGCGCGGGGCAGAGAGAGGCAGTGGGGGAAGGCGGCGGCGGCGGCGGCAACGTGAGCGTGGCCTCTGCAGCGAGCACCGGGCCGCCGGCCTGGCCCGCTCCCTGGAGCTGGCCCTCCCAGGGCTCCGAGCAGCCTGCCTCCCCCCGGGGGAAAAAAAAGGCGCACCCCGGGGAGGAAGCCTGTCCTACGGGGAGGGGGGGGCGGAAAAAGACGCCCAGACCTAGGAGGGAGGAGGAAGAGGAGGAAGGCGTCTTTCCCCTCTCCCAGGCAATCTTGTATTGTTCAATCTTTGCAACGCCTACCCCTGCAGACCCCCCCTAGCTGGAGAAGAGGGCGGAAGGCTGGGGTGGGGGGTGAAGACGGGAGGAGCGGGCGCGTTTAGACCGAGCGCCGCGGGGGGGAACCGCGTGTTACCTTTCGCACTGAGCTGGAAGTCGAGGGTGTAGTGTCGCGCGGCTGCCATAATGAGGTAGAGCCCAGTGCCATGCCTGGTGGAGGCGGCCGCTGCTGCTGCTGCTTGCTGCTGCTCCTGCTGCTGCGTGTGCAACCGTGTGTGCGTGTATGTGTGTGTGCGCGCGTGTGGATGTGTGTGTTAGGCTGCACTGGCGAGTGCGCTTCGCTATTTGAGGCCGGGGAAAGAGGGAGGGACGACCCAGGAGTGATTGGGGGGCGGAGGGGGGGCGCGCGAGCGAGCCAGCCCCGCAGCTGCAGAGCGCAGGGCTGCACAGTCACACTGGAGGGAGGAGGGGCGAGGCGCGACAGTGCGGCCGCTCGGAGGGAGGGAGGGGGAAAGGACTCCTCTAGAAAAAAAAAAATGGGAGCTTCGGTTAACCCCAAAGGGGGAAGTGAACGGAGGGGAGGGGAGGAGGAGGCATGAGACCTGGGAGAAAAAGCTTCCACAGCCAATGCTTGCTCGGCCGAGGAAGACTAGTGGTTGCTGGGCGCGCCAGCATCTCTCCCAACTCCACATCTTGGGTGCAAAACTGATGGTTGCAGCTCTTGGCTGTGCAGCAGCTACTCTACCTAGTCGCTTCTTTCCCGAACTGGGTTATGCATAAAAAGCAAAACTGCTTCACTTCCCAGGAGCGCAGAACTAGGCTTGAAGGGGAAACGAGAATAGGGGGGTGGCACAGACTGTATGTAGCCCTTTCTTTCCTTAACCCTGTGCAATAAAGTAAATGCATATTTTCCCCAATTCGGCCTTCTTTCCACTACCCCATCAAAAAAGAAAAAAAATAATAATCCTTGCTGTGATGCACCCCTCTGTAACCACGGCTTAAGTCGAAAAGTGCTGCCCTCCCATTTTTTCTTACAGGTCCAGAATAGCACAGTAAGGTGCAGGAAAAACAAATCATGGTTATTATTGCTGAGGATCAAGCCCTTGGGTTGGGAATCGCCCAATTTTAATGAGTAAATAAGAAGGAGAAAAATGAGACAATACTGATTAGGGATCAGTAATTATCGTCATGCTAAGCCGGACGTTGAGAAGAAGATTAAACAAAATGTCTCTTTGGGTGAAAAATAATTTGTAATAGTGAATTTTTACACAACATTTCAAAGGCAGAGCTTCCAACTTCTCTGAGGGCTGTTTAAAGTCAAGTCATTTTTCAATTGTTTGAACACAAAAAAAAAAGTTATTTGAAAAGGGATTCCAAATTCTAAACATTCATAAAAGTCATCAAAGGCACATGTAGAGTAGTTTCAAAGACACAATTGGAAAATTTGCTAGAATATGAAGAAACAATTGGATAAATCGTATGAATAACTTACTTGGACTTACCACAAGTTCTAAGTTGATTATGAATTTTATGTGTAATTCCATTTTAAGTTTAATTTTGTTGATCAATGTTGAGTTCATTTAGCGTCCAATTATAGTTCCATTGTCTTCTTCATTTAGATGGAAAGTAAACATTCCGTAATAATTGCGATCCTGGGTCGAATACCAGTAGTCTTTTGTTGTTCCTCATTTGTGGGGACATCCTGTCGCTTTGGAGGATCAGCCCTCTACAGAAAAAGTCAGGAAGAAAAACAAAAGATCATAGATCTAAGTGCATTTAATCTTCATGGCTTACAGAAAGTTTGTCTTTTCAAGACTTCTCATGTATTCTGTGAGAATTACTGTAAATTTAACCTGATTCGAGATGAAAGATACTAGAGCCAAAAAAAAAAAAAAAAAAAGTGTTCCATGCCTGGGGCATGAGAACTACACGTGCTTATTCTAAACAATGTAAGGTTCTCTTCCCATTCGACCTCCCTGCCTTTGTTTTATACAATAAAAACAAGTTCATGGGGAAGCGTATGATTTAGTGCTTTAGTGTAATGGAGATTCAGAAGTCTGTTTCTTGCCCTTCCAGTAATTCACTTTCAGCCCTTGGGAAGGTCAAGATCTCTGCCTCAGTTTCCCTGTGCAAAACTGGAGATTCCAAAAAGTACTGCATCCTTACCTTACATAGTTCATTTACTGTTTTCAAGCTTTTATGCAAGGTGATAACTGAGGCAAATGAAGAATTGAATGGATGATTCAAAGTAGAAAAAAATTTCAAGCTCTTACTAAGCCACGCTGTCTGATAAGCACTTGTAATAAAGTGCAAAAGGAGATGGTCCCTTACCCTCAAGCGTCTTATTGATCTAATTGAGGGGGCTGAAGCCTAGGAGGAGGCTAGGTTCTGCCGGAAAGGCCTGAGGGAGTTGAACAGAACAATAAGGCAAGTGTGCAAACATCTTTTCCTAAGGTTGTGTTAATGTTGATTGTATTATAATTATCGGAATAAAAATTTGAAAAGAGGAGTGAAAGAAAGATTTTTGCATTTGGAAGAAAATTATGCAGAAGTACCCTTCCAAATTGGGAGTTGAAGTCTATTTAATAACTAATATATAGCACTGCTTCTGCTGCTACCTACCTGACTATTCCTAGGTCTCCTTGGCTAGCTCTTCATCCCTATGATGACCCTAACTGCGGATGTTCCTCACAATTCTGTCTTGAACCACATTCTCTTCTCTACCTACTCTCGATCTCTTGATAATCTCATCATCTCCCACGGATTGAACTGTCATTGTGATGCAGATGTCTCCCATGTCTCCCAAGTCAGCTTCAGAATTGTATCACCAATTGCCTATTATACATGTCCAAAACTGAACTCATTATCTTTTCCCTTTTGCATACTTCCTTAGTTTTACTGAAGGCACCACCACCTTTGCAGGGTCCATGGTTTGTAATCTTGGCTTTAGCCTGGACTACTTACTCTCACTCACCCCCTATACTGGATTGTTTAATCCATTCACATTTTTTTTTAGGCAATTGGGGTTAAGTGACTTGCCCAGGGTCACTCAGCTAGTAAGTATCAAGTGTCTGGTCTGAGGCCAAATTTGATCTCAGGTCCTCCAGACTCCAGGGCCAGTGGTCTATCCACTGCGCCCCTTAGCTGCCCTTCCATTCACATTTAAATAATGAGTTTTCTATTTTCTTACATTTGTCTCTAATATTGGGATTTTTTCAAGATATAAGAGTTGGGGTGTGGGGTTGAGCTCTATTCCAATCTCAGACACATGTCTTGACCCTGTCCTATGTTGCTTTAATCTCTTGCAGAAGTCTTTAATAGTACAGAATGCTGCTGCCTTATGTCCACTGAGGCTCCAGCAAACTTCTGCAGCCTCAAGTGGGAGAATCTTCATAGCACTGGTAGATTAAGGTATGGGTCAGGTCCTTAGGTATTTAGTGCAACCTCACTTCTGGTAGCATGGTGAGTGGTAGGGAAGTGGGTAATGAGTGAGCTGAAGGTAAGCATCAGTCTTTTTTTTTTTAAACCTTCTTTTGGGTTCCTGGTGTCCTAACTATGGGGATGAGATCTGAACCCCTAAAAGAAAAAGACCATGTCTTAGGGATCTGGACCCCAAAAAAAGAAAATCCCTGGATTTTTTCCAAATCTCTGGCATTTGCCTGAGGCTGTAATCCAGTCAACTGGCCTTTCATTGTGGCTACGCCCGATCTCCCAATTCTGTTCTGTTACTTCCTGATTGCCCCTGGCCACTTCCCACCCTTAATCCTATCTAGACTCCATTCTCCCTTGGCCTAGTGGTCCAGGTCCCTGGCGTGCTGTTCACCCCAGCTTACTGGCCACTCCCATCCAGATTCTCCTTAGACCCCTCCTGCAATCACCCCAGACTACTTGCCCACTCCTGGATCCCTCCCACAGTCTTTCTGTATATAAGATTCATCGTGTCTCTATTAAGGTGCTTAGATTCTTAAGATCTGGCCAGCTTGAATTAGTGATACAAATGCTTAGATTTCTTAAGAGTCTAGCCGCTATGACAGATTTTCTAATAAACCTTGCCTTTGGCTGAAAGAAGGCTTGGGTCAAATACATTCGTGCAGGACCTATGTGTCATGATTTTGGGGACCTAGCACCCCTAAGCCTCTAAACCTCAACACTATCAGGGGTGGGGAACCTGTAGCCTCAAGGCCACATGTGGCCCTCTAGGTCCTCAGGTATGGCCTTTTGACTGAATCCAAGTTTTACAGAACAAATCATTTTATTAAGGGAATTTGTTCTGTCAAATTTGGGTTCAGTCAAAGGGCCTTACTTGAGGACCTATATGGCCACATGTGGCCTCATGCCCACTGATTCCCCATTCCTGTAAGACCATGTAGAAAGCTGAAGTTGCTTTATCTTTTGCAATTAATTTGTGTTTTGGAGAGGTGTGAGAAGTTACAAGGGTCAGAGAAAATGTCTAGTTTTTCCTCTTGTTGGTCATGTGACCCAGAAGTTCCTCTGTTTAGCTTTTAATGCCCTTTATAACCTGCCCCCAACTTGTCTTTCTAGCTCCAGTGGACATTAATCCCACTCTCACACTGTACAATCCAGTCAAACTGGCTTTGTGTTTTTCCACAAGTTCCTTTGCACTGATCATCACATATGCCTGAATTCACTACTTCTCTCTCTTCTTCATATGTGTGTGTGTGTGTATGTATACATATAATTTTCTCACATTAGAATGCAAGCTTCTTTCAAATAGGAATTGTTTCATTCTTTGTACTTGTATTCCCAGAGCCCAGTACAATGTATGACCCATAGATCGACTTTTAATTTACTTTCTTTCATATTTATTTTAAATTTCTCTTTTCAAGATTTCATTTCATATTGCTTAAATTTTCCTCTTTAAGATTTTGTTTCCTTATTCCATTTTTCCCACCTGCTTGTTCTCTTAAGACTTTGAAATGTATATTTGTGGGATACTTAATAAAAATGTTTACCAAGATGGTACACTATATTCATTCTTCTTTCCTGCTACTCACTTCTTTAGCTGACCTCCATATATTGTTTCAGCCTTTATACTATCACCTTGTAATCCCTAAGTAATCTTGCCCATAATTCTGCCAGTACCAACATCTAGTTAAAACATAAAGTAGAGAAACCTCTGATGTGATAGTTTGTAGAGCTGTCATTGACAGCCAAGCTTTTGTTCCTCTGTTGTCTTTATCACTGTCAAGGACAGGGCCTACTTCAAGGACACAGCAATAAAATGTAAACTTCAACACCATAGCTTTCCCAGCAGGCTTGATTGACGGAAAATGAATATTGTAAGTAAATATATTTGGCTTAAGTAGTATTAATTTCATAATAGCCCTTGTGAATGCTAGAATGACAGGCTAAGTCATTAGTGTAGCTTGAACT